AAAAATCCAAATTATTCTTTCAGTTTACACCTATTATACTAGTTATCTCAAAGCTTCTTCTTCACACCTCTCATCAAAGGCGGGGATCTTACAAATATATGATCAGCAGGCGGGGATCTTACAAATATATGATCATCAGGCGAGGATCTTACAAATATATGATCACCGATTATCAATCAGAAAAGGGGGGAAAAACAATTCAATGACAGTCTCAACAACAGAAATGCTTTTTCAGAACAAACAACTTCAATAACCTTTTATTATGTCAAAGCTACTTAATTCTGTAAAAATGTTGCTTTTTTACAGCTGATATGCTGCAGCTACAACTGGTTTTCCCCCCATAATTTATATAATAAAATTACCACTGTTCAGTAACAACTTTTTGTGCACCAAGTACTGGACTGCAAGCTTGTAATACGCTAATTATTGTAGCGCCTGCTGGTTTCAGCTAGGGATTTTTCCATCAATATGTCATCTTCCTATGTATAGCCTCAGGCGCAGAAAGGAAAAATCAAAGTATAAAAGTTACTTGAAAACTTTAAGGCCACTTGTCTACCAGCCACACTTATATCCATAAAACTTGCAAAACAGTCTAAAACACCCAAAGTGGGACTAGAGAACTTTAATTCCTCCCTCCAGGAGAAAAAAGAATAAGAAACAAGATGAATACAAAATTGAAGAACATTAAATATATGATTATCCAGCTTACACAACCATATCTAAACCAGGAAAATTCTTAAATACTATCATCGCAAGCAAAGACAATGATTCAGATGTATTATAGAAAAATTATTAATACCTAGAATAACAGTCGTCCCAGACAATTCTTTTGTGAACTTCATCAATCTTGCGGAATCTGTAGCTCTAGCACCCACCGTGGGTTTCTGAACCTCTCTAGATGCATTTTCTGAATTTGAGGTTGACAATTTCATTTTGCTAAAAGATGTAGTAGTACTTGCATTACTTCTGTTTTGGAGTCCATCCTAAACTCAAAAAGAAAATCTTAATAAGAACATGTTACTAATCAAAGCAAATTACAGAATTACCACTACATAAGGAGACAATGGGAGGAGTGGCTTATCCTAAAACCTGACTAGATTCAGCCACTCGTTCACTGGAACCAGTATCATTATCTGATAAACTCCTGTTACTATCTGGAGACCTTAGAATTAAGTCATCCTGTGGATCTGTCCTCCTTGTGATTAGTATCTTACCAGGAAAACTGCGCCCTTTCAGCAACCTAAATGGCATTAAAAGACCATTCAAAAAATTTCTCCACAATTCATAACAAAAGATCAAAAAGAGATTGTAAGCTGAATATTTGTCATAGAGCCTCCAACATTATGAATTTCAACATAGATTCAAAATGAAGATATGTATGCCAATGACTACCATTACCAAACCTTAAATTAAAGGGCTACTAACGAGTATATCCTGGATCACAGGGGCTACTTCTTTTACTAAAACTACTAAATGGTGAATGTTAAGCATGATTTTTCAAAATATGGCCATAAAGCTCCAAAGTCCTCTGGAACCAGTTATTATGTGTAAAACCTTTACCAGAAAAAAGGGAAAAAATTTAAATTGAAAAACATATCGCTCATGCACTTTGAGCACTCTAATGGCCCGTTTGGAAGGTGAGTTTTATGGGTGTTTGTCTAAAACTTACTGTAGAAGTTTTTAAAAAAATTTTTGAAGTGTGTTTTTTTTTGAGTATTTTGAAGTGTATAGTTTAAAAACTTTGAAAAGTTTTTTGAGGTTACTGTAGCAAAACTTTTTAAAAAACTTGACTTCTCTTGGTATACTCCACAAAATTATGGAGTACCAATTCAAGTACCTTGTGCTATAATTTATCCTTGGAGAGCAATCACAAACCTAAGAAGTATAAATCAACAACTAGAACCACTGACATATTCAATTTAAAAAAAAAATCACAAATCTTGGAGACCAAACAAAGCAGCAGTACAACCTATGGGACATAAATCATACATCATCATTGAAGATTATAAATTTTTCAAAGCAGGGATTGACATTGCTTTCCCCTATACATAGGATAAGAGCAAGCAGCATTGCTGCCCGAAACTTCAAAATCCAGAAAATGAGAGACTCTTCAACAATTTTAGGAGTTTGTGGATAACCCAAGTGGGTAGATATACCAACTTTCTAGAAATAATAAAAACAAAATCGAAATTGACGATTAAGCAGTAGCATTACCATTTTGCATCCTAAACATGAGAAGTGCAAAAAGAGTTCTACTCTTTCAGAATTAAATAACTCTTAATGAAAACTAACATAAAATCCAATCAAATTGAATAACCATTCAAAACTAATAATCATGAAAATAGGAGCAAGCTAGTCTACCTTTTCCCACATTAATAATATTCCCATCCACAAAACTTGCCAAATTTCTATTCACCACAAATACAAATATATCAAACATCCAGAGATAACCGGAAATTGCACCTATTTAACTACCAATTTAACAAATCAACTAAGTTATAGCTGTTAAATGAGCAGAAATTTTCAAAAAAAAAAAAAAAACACAAAAAGTCAAAGCTCAAAACTTGAAGAAAAATTTCACAAATTGATACTATTTCCTCTTCCTCACTGATCACACACTATAAACTCTAATTGAATGAGACCCGTCTGGATTTTCTCAAATAATTCCTAACTGGGTACTCAGATATGATAAAAGAGCTGCGTTGAATAGCACAAAGTTGGCGCCTTAAATTTTCTGACAGAAAACTTTTTAGACATTGCTGGATCTGTTTTATATGCAAGTTACAGCATACCCGTGAACACTTCTGAGAGTTTGATTGAATCTTGAATCGACAGCAGAAGAAGCTGAAGAGGGAGATGTCTCTTTCTTTAGATCTTCTTCCTTGAAACTGCTGTTGCGGCTCCTCATGACTTCCCACATCAAAAACCCACCAAAATCAAGCAAAATCCATGAATCCTCGACTACCCAAGCACAAATTAGTCTATGAAATCCAAAGGTAGCAATTGGTTCCCATCTGGTGGACTCTCAAAATCCCAATAAATTAAAAGCCATATGCAACACCAAGAATGAAAGCGAAGGGTGGAATCACTGACGGAGATTCTTCTTAACTATGTGGGAGGAAGGTGGCGGACCGGTGGTGGTGGTGGTGGAAGAAGATTAGTCGTGCAATTGGGAGAACAGAGGGTTAGCGAGGCAGAGAAAGCTTCTGTATTGTTCTGTTTTCATATTTTCGGTTTGGTTATTTTCCTTGGAATTGGGTTGGAAATTCCTTTTTCACTCTTTATTCGGTTTATTTCCTTTTTTGTTTTCCAAAATACTCCTTTCTTCCTTTATCTTGCTCTGTTGTCCTTTAGGATATGCAAATCCTGTACATTGAAATATTTGAAAATTTCGGACCTTATTTGGATTGCTATTTTATGGGGAAAAGTTTTTATGTTTTTCTTGAATATATCCTAGACCCATTTTTCAAAATCATCTATTTAGTGTAATGGGTAGATGGTATTTGCTCAAACTATGGAATTCAGTTTATAGCTTGGCCAAATCTCAGGAAAAATAAATGTGATTAACCCTTCTTGTTAGAGGGCCAATTTTTTTATTCATTTATAACTAAAATTAGAAAAGCACATGAAAAATCCAAACTAAAGTTTGTAATTAGTTTGAAATTCACTATCATGGCGATAAGGGTGTCAATTGGGCTCTATAGGTAGTTTTAATAAGTTCAAACTCGATTCAAAAAACAAACGGGACTTTAGACTTATGCACTTTTGAACTCGAGCCTAAATTAGAAAGTTCAAATTTGACTCATCATTTAATCTGAGCTTTCGAGCTCATATCAAGTTCGATTCAAATTCATAATTTACTTCATAATCATATATAATATATTAATATTTATAAATTTTTATACAAAATTTTAATATTTTAATATTATAATATGTATATTTATATATACATGCATTTTTTTAATGATTTAATATGCAATTATATACGTTATATATACAATTATACAGATGAACAGGATGGGCCTTAATCACCCTTGAGTTTTGTGAGGTCCAATCTCGACTCACATTTAATTTAGGCTTATTATTTAGATTCAAAATTTGCCCTCCTCTATTAAACATGCAACTCAACAGGCTTTTTTATGGATTGAATGGGTTTGAATTGGGCTAGTCCAACCCTATTGACAGTTCTATATGGAAACAAAGTTCTCCAAATTCTTAGGAAATAGAGTATTACTATTTTTTTAACAAACGCTTCAAAAAAACTATTTTTTTAACTAGGTTTTTCTAACTGGTACTTATTAAACACTTAATAATACATCTAAATTTTACCCAATTTATCATGTATATATGCACCCTAAGAACTACAACCCTCCCTAGTATTTATACATTTTTCTTAATTAATCTTACTTTTTCAACAATCTAACACCTAAATTGCATCTCTACGGGTGCCTAGACTCTTATTTTTTCACCAAAACAATTAAAGCAACTATTATTTTTGGTTAATTACATTTGCCTTCCTTGACTTTGGTGAGATTACAAGAGATGTTATGAATTTTAAATTGTTACATTCAAACAGTTTGACTTACACTTTGGATCTGTTTAAATTTTTTTCCAAATAATTTTTTCACTTCCAGTATAAATATGTTTTTTAATTATTGTTTTTATTATTTCAACTGTCTTACAATCTCACACATCATATCATAAAATTTTTTACAGTATTATTCTAAAAACCTTTGTCCAAATGGTCTCCAATCCAAATAGAATTCCTCGGCACAATGGACTTGGAAGCAAGAATGAACCTTCAAAAAGATCGTCCAAATTTTTGGCGTTAAGATTGGCAAAAAATGTGGCTTTTAGAAGACATAAAATTGTCAGCATTATTTGACCCCAAAATTTTTTTTTTAAAAAAATAAAATGATCCCAGAGGTGTATTCTGTTCATTTAAATCTACATGTTAGTAGCTTGTAGTTGCAATCTGTGTTTCTTGACTTAGAACATATATTATGTTTCGCATTTGGTCTCAAACAATCTCCTTTTCTTTTTATTTAGCACAAGCAAGTTTTCTCTTCCACTTTGTAGAATGCATGTAAATTTAAAGTTTGTTGTATATCCATTGTTAGGGTTGTTCGTTCCATCTCATTTGATTTTTTTTCAAATGACTGTCTTATTTTGTTTCCTTGAAATTATTTCAACTTTGGCTTCAATTACTAGTTCTATTTATCTAGGCTTGAATTTGGTCATTTCATAAAGGGTGTATCATTTGGATTGTGTTTTTGAAAGAGTTTTGATTTCGATTCCTACTAGACTATTTCAAGAATTTTCAAGGGAAAAGGAAAAAAAAAAAAAAGCAAGGCTATGAAGCAAACTAAAATTTTCCTAAATTTTATGTAATTTGTAGGGCTACAATACATTCGAGTAACTTGACTCTAGCTCGCGAGTAGCTCGGTCAACTACTACAGAGCTCGAGCCAATCTCGAACTACTTGATTAGGCCTATGAGTTGAGCTCAAATAAGTATAATATGCGCTTGTGAGCTCGACGAGCTCTAACGAGTATTCGTGCAAATATTTAATTAATATTTTAGGAATATTCAAATGACTTCTTTGGGCTGCTTATTTGAAATAATTATGACCATATCTAGTTTTATTATAAATTTTGTGAAGATTGAATGAGTCATTTTGCTATAAAAAAAAATAATGGAATTAGGGACCAACAGGGGCGGATTTACAGTGGGGGCACTGGGGGCACGGGCCCCCACTGCCCTCCTTAAATTCCTATAATACTCCTATAATTTTGATACAATTTTAATGGTGCCCCCAGAATTTTTTTAAAAAAATATGAAAGAATGGGTCACAAAATTTATATCATTCACTTTCCTCCTCTAAGGACCAGATATCAATTATATCAGTCATTACTTTTGGTCCCCACTCTCCAAGTTTCCTTTACTCCTGTGGTCCCCATTTCACTTCATAACCCACGACTCCTCTTCTTCCACACCCAACTAACTACTCTTTCTTTTTATTACTTCATCCAATCAACATTAATCATTTACTTCCTTTGTCCCCATTCCCCAATTTTCTTTTCCTCTTTTGCCTCTTGGTTGTCCCCACTGAAAATGGTCTCTCCCATCAAATAGTCCGATCCTGGTTTTCCTGTCATGAAAATGGTGTTGTTGACTACTTCAAACAGTGTTCCATTAAAGGAGTAGGCTTTTTGAAAACCAAGACCTGCTTTCTTCAGTTCAACCGCAAGAAACCAGTCCTTGAAGCTGACTTCTTTCCAATTAAATAACGTGATATGGGGCACAAAGGAAGTAAAGGGACCTGAGTCTGCCACAGTGCCACTGATTTGCAACTCTTTTCACCAATTTTGGGAGACCATTAAAATCAGGTTCTAAACAATTACTTATTATTATTATTATTTTAAATTTGTTTGCAAATATATTTCTAGAGCATGAGATTATTACTGTTTTAGAGAAATTTGAAAATTGATTAGTTAATGTAATAACTAATAAATGGGTTATTTGATATTTGATAAATATTTTAACTTGTGAAATGGTGATTTTATAGATTTATAATTTATAATTTATTTTTTATTTTCCTTGATTAGTTTCTTATTTGGAGTTAATGTAATGATGAATAGAGGGCCATTTGACATATATTTTAACTTTTAAATTATTCTTATATGGATCCTTTTGTCTAATTAACTTGATTATGTTCATATATTCTGATTAATGATTTGATATAGTAATGAATGAATAAGTTGTGATTTGATATAGTAATGATATGTTGTGATTAATGATTTAATAAATAACTTTAACTTGTAAAATAGTTCTTGGATAGATTATTAGATTTTATTGTACATTTAATATTTTAATTGGATTAGTATCTTATATATTGATTTTAATTTCTTTAGCTATGGAGAGATATTTCAAGAGGAAATCAATGGAAAAAGAGCCATCTAATAAAGAAGAAGCCAAGGATAATGAAGGTGCAAAAAATGACAATAAAAGAAATTTTTAAATAAAATTATTATTACATTAATAATTTTGAGTTTGTCTTTTTACGTTTTTCATGGAATATACATATCAATTGTACTTGTTAGTGAATTTATTTATTTTTTGCTCAAAAAATTAAAAAAAGAGTAGATAAAAAATTTTAGTATTATTTGTGCCCCCACTAAGATTTTTTTCTGGCTCCGCCCCTGGGGACCAAAGAAAAGAAATGTCACAAAATAAGAAGTCTTGAAGAAACTTCTTCCTCCCGTAGTCCCTCTTCAACATGGAGATTGGATGAAGCTCATCACCTACTAGAGCTCCACCCTAACTCGATTGATATCTTCCACGACCATGAGCTTAAGCTTCATTAGACGGTAACGGTAAATGGCATTGACTTCAATCTGAAGGGGATGAATATTAGGAGGAGCCGAAATTAGTGAGGTGAAGCAGTGGAGGTTGCAGATGATAATGTAAAGTTTCATCAGTTGCATTGCTATTATTTGAGGTAATTCTATTGTACTTGTGTATGAAACATGTTAATTACAAATCCATTTTTGCTAATTTAGGGAGAATTTGTTAAACCTAAAACCCTAACACCAAAATTAGGATTTGCAATTGTGAAGGTATTTCAGAGCACAGATGAGAGCTGGGTTGCTGTCTTGTGATTGGGGAAGTAATAAAAATTTAGGAAAATGTAGGAGGATAGCTCAATTTGTTGGACACTGGACTCCTACATTGGCGCAATAGAGGCAACGCCGCTGGAGTGGGCAAGTGAATGAATGAAACTGCCTTGCTACTTTTTTTTTCCTTGAGAATATCACATAATTCACGCTGCCTTCTTGCTTTCTTGTTTGGAAGACGAAGAAAAAGAAATTTAAACAGTGACAGCTTTTGAGAATTTGAGTCATGGTTGTGTAAAAGCTTACATTGCTGGGCTATTGTCATTGTTCTTGAGTATATATAATCACTGTCCAAAACAATCTGACATGTCACAATGCTTAAGAATCTTTGCTTGTTGTCCTTAAAAAGCAACAATGTAGTTTTAGTTGGTAATGTTGGGCACCTGTTTTCTTCGTTTTTTGGAGAGATTTACAACTCGAATGAATTTGAGATTAACACTAGCTATTGCTAATCAATATTCAATACCAAATACTAGAATTTTGATGAAAGGTGGAATTCATGTCATTTTGGGCTATTCATTTTTTCATTATGTATATATCCAAACTTTGCAGCTCTTAGATTTAATTTGTGCATCTTTGTTAAAGCGAT